CCCCAAAACCCCAAAACCCCAAAACCCCAAAACCCCAAAACCCCTAAACATTATATCTGCATTGAAATCTACCTTTTCATCCTGATATTATCTTTTTTAGTCGACCTGAACATGGTTCATTTTCAGCATCAACTGAGAATTCCTTTTAATGAGGAATGACCCTTCGGCTGGAAATCAGGTCTCTTATGTTTACTAGTTTTAGAGATGACCATATTATTCGCTTCAATTCTAGAGAGATTGGTAAATTTAAAGAGAAACTACTTACGATTCATCTTGTAATTGGATCATTTTTTCACTTGATTCGTCAAACTGAGATTCTATTTCCGAATTAGATGTCTCTTTGTGGTCTATATCTTATCGAAAAATTTTCTGTAGTCTTTCTCAATTTCTGCATCTGAAACATTACCAATACTGTTGGAAATAATGTGTTCAAGATTTTTGAGGTGATCAGTAAAATGGTGATTTTCAGAGAACTCAGAACTTAATACATTCCTAAGGTTATGATACCTCTTTGCAATATCAAATCCAATAGCATAGTGTAGTTTCCTTAATCAAACTGGGCAAAGAAGGAAGGGTTTTAAGTCTCCCTCTTGCATCCGGTTGGTTCCGTTCATCAAACATTCGTTGACAATGCAATGGCGAACACCGAACATATGAACGATTTCATGTGTCATTGTCTTACAAGCCCTATGAATAATCAGCTTGCGAGTCTCTTCATCCTTCTCATTAATAGATTCTCTTTGGCTTGAACTTGAATTTAAAACCGAGATCTCAAAGTTAGGATCATATCTAGCGAATGAAAAAATTCCTGTCCGTTTCCGAATCCTCGATCAGCCAAATACAAAAGTCCAGTTTGGCTTCGGATAGAGGTCTTTGTTTATAATTCCTATAACTCAGTATGCATCGTCGGGTAAATGCTCATTCATGAGTAAATCCAATAAATCAGTTGCTAAATACTGAATTTTATTTAGTATCCTTCCTAATCCGAGAAGTAATACCTAGCTGATCAACATTTGATGGTACGTCAATCTTCTCCTCCATAATCTTAACAGTGAGGCCTTCGAAGAAGGCAGAACAGTACATTTGTAGCTTTTCTAGAGCATCTTCAGGGATATCGTCATCCATGCACATAATGTAGATAACATTCTTGGATTTAGTGACCCTATTGCGGCTTTTACTCCTGATAAACTCCATGAAAGTCTGGCCCTTTTCCTTATTTGTTATTAAGCCAGTCCTTCTTAGAATACATTTTATTTAAGATCAACTACTTTTTGCAGATTCTCGTAAGTGCTGAGGTTGCTCAGATGAATTTTTATGACATTCTTCATGTATGCCTCACCGTAGTATTTAAGCAGGAGATCATAAGTATTCTCCTTCTTAGACTCATCTTTCTCTGTTACTATAGTTTTAGAATTATCCCAATCAAGTCTGCCTTCCTATAAAGTTGTTAAGGAACTTACCTCAAGAACTGCACTTCTGATTTTTCTTGAGAAAGGAAATAATTTTATAGAATGAGACCCGAGTGCTCTTATAGCTAACTCCAGGGTGCCAATAGTCTTCCCTTCAAAATCTTTGTGAGCAATAGTTGGGAGAGAGATGTCACTCTCCTCATCCTTAATGTTCTGACCTCCATCTGCTTTGGTAACAAATTCTGTAGTGTAAGAACTAAGAAAAGGCTATTTTAATCATTGTGAAAGTAAATCAATCTAAAAATGTAGCAGGGTCTATTCATAATCCATTGTTTAGCTATCTGAAAATCTCAATTTATATCAAATAAAATCATATGGCTTTCTCTAAGCTCCATGATGATATAAGAAACCATTGTTAAATTGCCTTAAAATTTTCAATAGGAGCTCCTAAATTTAGCAGAGCTATAGTAAGGATAGTTAGAATCTTTATTAGCTTGATGGTCTGTGTGGGTTACCCAAAATGTTGCTTAGCCCATGCACTTACTCGCTTTCATATTTAAATAATATTACAATTGCAGTCTCTTCTCCTGGGGTTTTGGGGTTTTGGGGTTTTGGGGG